CAGTCCTAAAGAATCAGAAAAATATTTTCCTGAATTGCATTAGGCTTGCCGTTATGAAGAGGAAGCAACCAGACAACTTTGCTGTGGCAACAGCCCATTTTTGCTCAAATCTCCAGCATGTTGTCCATCTGGGGTTCATTCAGTTCCCTTTCTACCCGGCATTCCATGAATCTGTTTCCCTTTCAGGAAATATGGCAATATAGTTTCTTTGCTTCATCCAAAAAACCTTTTCAACATAGGCCATCATCTCCTTAACATCTTCTGGTATCTTTTTGTCTTCTGTGTCCATTATTTATTTGTTGTTAGCTGGTTTTCAGCTTCGTCTTGATACCCCGTTCCATTGCTTCTGTCAGAGAGAGCTTGTTAGAGTCTGTTGCGGATCTTAAGAGCAGACAGCTCATATCTCAGTGTCTTGGAGCATCCCGCAGGGGTCCAGGGGGATATTCGGAGTGAGAAAGAGCTGCCTCAGATATCTAAAACGGGAGACATTTTAGTCCCTGAACAGTGCTGGATCTGTCAATTCTATTTCAAGGAAGCCCAGACAGGTAAATGCAACCTTGACAGCACATTGCCTGGAAGAGAAGGTTATTTCAGCCATTTTTTAGTTAGTTTTTAAATTCATTTTTAGAACAGTTGAGACAGGGATGAAGTTGGCCATGGAGGTTCCCCCTTAAACCACGCCATCAGGCTGACAAGCAGACCCATGTATATGTGTTTGTTGACCAAGCTACGCATAGTTTGTATACATTTCACAATCAGTTGAGCGCTGAGTGGTGTAAGAGAAACATTCCTAGCAGATGACGGGAAAAGGGATCCACGTACACCAACCCCTGTCACAGGAGGACCAGTCATGAACAGAAAACAGAACATAGGGACCCCTTATTCAAAAGGGAAACTTAAGGAAAATAGCAGACTCATGTTCATATCAATGCTTGTAGTCACTGAGTGTCTGTAAACTTTCCTATGACCACTTTATGAATGTGTATATGGAGAAATGAAAGTCAAGGTGTTATGGCATTTCCCTAAACAAACAATGGCGCCACCCAGATAGTGAGTGGTCCTTAAATTATCTAATACATCATCTTGAGACCTAATTTTGAATGTTTATATTTTTCCTCTCTGTAGGTTTCTTTGGGAATTTTGTAGCAACTCTGGTTTTGAGATAACAAAAGGGTTGTCATCAGGTTCATGGGTTAATGTGTCATCAAGGGTTGGTTCAGCTCACATGTCAAGAAAATGCCCTTTTAGTATTCTTTTCTGATGCTTGTTTCATTCCAGTGGTGTCAATGTCAACTGTTAAAATGGAGTTTGTTATATTAAAAATTAAAACAGTGGTTATTTGAAGAATTAAAAGTATTAGGAGAATGTACAGTTCAGTTTTATATTCCTAATTGATTTAAAACCACCCAAAGCCAGGGCCAGGTAAGCTACTCTTCTCTCTGCTGTCTTTTTAAAGACATCTGTGGCATTTGTGAGATGACAACCTGCTGGGCGGGTTTTTGTAGGGTCATTAAAATTCCTGTTCTCTCCTCAGCTACTAAAAGCTACATGTTGGCTCATGTCCATCTCCTTTCTTTGGTGCTGGAAAAATGTGCCCTTTTGCACTGATCTGAGACTTTTGCTCTTTCGCTTAATAAAAAATATATAAGAACGTTAGTAGCAGAAACCGTTCTTAGATCAGGGCATAACAGAAACCTTCAGCCAGATGAAAAAGAGGAAAAAGCCCTGAAGGGAGGTGAACTTCATTCAAGGGAGAAACAGATACATGGCTTTGGCTCTGAAGATGTTTCAGGTGACCTTTAGCCTCAATTTTCCTGCATCCCTGGTGGCCTCAACAAGACCCTGCCAGATCAAACCCAGGGCTTTGATCAGCACATTGTGAGAGCACACTGGGTGACCTGGTCATATGTAGATGAGAGAAGAGGGCAGAGAGAGAGAGAGGGAGAGAGGGAGAGTAGCAACTCAAGAACAGGGTATTGTTCCCTCCTTCCTGTCCTCTCCGGGCTAAATCACTACGGAAGCTTTTTTTGTTTTGGTCAGCTCTGCCACCGCCACCTGCCTCTCATCCTCCACCTCTTTTCATAAACCCCCCACTGAAACCCCAGCAACTCACAGGCCTCTGTAGAGTAACCTCAATCAGTCATTAATTTGTTTAAAGACACACATACCCTTAACAAGGACAAGGTCGTGAGGTCAAAATCGCAGACATCCTTCAAGCAGACATAGGTAGGTTGTTTATGAAGTTTAAGAAGAGAGTTTGGGGAAACAGAATGCTTTCTGACGAGCCGTAACAAATATATTCAAGATGGCAGAAGAGTAATGTTGATTTTAAATAAACCTGGTTCATTACCAAAAAATGCATCCAAATAATTAGAAATACACCGCTTAAACCAATTCGTTATACTTTAGGGGCTATACAGATTTTTGCATTCCGCTGTACTGCTTTTACATTGTTTTTTTTTGTGCAAACATATGCTAGACGGATGTGTTTTGACTGTTGTGTAATGTGTTTTTTTGCAGCGTCTCGCACGTCACACAGTTAGCATGTATTAAAAACACAAAATAGTGAAAAAAAAAAACAAGATCTAGAGAAGTTTTCCCCCACTGAAACCCCAGCAACTCACAGGCCTCTGTAGAGTAACCTCAATCAGTCATTAATTTGTTTAAAGACACACATACCCTTAACAAGGACAAGGTCGTGAGGTCAAAATCGCAGACATCCTTCAAGCAGACATAGGTAGGTTGTTTATGAAGTTTAAGAAGAGAGTTTGGGGAAACAGAATGCTTTCTGACGAGCCGTAACAAATATATTCAAGATGGCAGAAGAGTAATGTTGATTTTAAATAAACCTGGTTCATTACCAAAAAATGCATCCAAATAATTAGAAATACACCGCTTAAACCAATTCGTTATACTTTAGGGGCTATACAGATTTTTGCATTCCGCTGTACTGCTTTTACATTGGTTTTTTTTGTGCAAACATATGCTAGACGGATGTGTTTTGACTGTTGTGAAATGTGTTTTTTTGCAGCGTCTCGCACGTCACACAGTTAGCATGTATTAAAAACACAAAATAGTGAAGAAAAAAAACAAGATCTAGAGAAGTTTTTAAAAGTTCTTATAACTTGAGCACTGCATTTTTACAACATTGTGTCACGATACTGCAAAAGATGCAAGACTTAAGCGCACTGGTCAAACACATCTGTCCAGCGCATGTTCACATAGAAACAGCATGATAATGCAGTGCAGTAGAATGCAAAATGGGAACTAGGCACCACACTAGATGTAGTTCAAAATGCACTAGCCGCTAATTGCAAAATAATACCTTTAATTTCTATATTTACAGTGTTTGGGCAAATAAACAAATCAGTCACAGATGACCTACTTCAGAAAGTTCAGTGGCACACAAAGTAGATTTTAGTCTCAAAATAATAAGTGCCAGTTTCATTTTAATGTGTAGTAATTAAGTATAATTAGCTAAGTCGATCATTAAACATACTCTGATGGAAGATATTCCAGTCTATGTGGTGTAATTATGTTATTATTAAACTTTTAATATGCATTGTTCTCATCATTATAAATATTTGTTGCAATGTGTAATAAATATTGAGTTGTCAGCTTTTTATGTCAGGTTAACAGCTTTTTAAAACCCAAGAGGGAAAATGATGATTATTAAGAGTGTAAAGAACAGAGCTGCTCCAGTGAGGGGCAGAGCCATGGGAACGCACAGACGTCACTCTATTTCACTGTAGATTCTGCTGTGAGGGAGGGCTCGTACCGACATGTCTATACACAAGACACAGAACGTGTTTTGGGCGAGGTACAATGTTACAATGTGAACTCGGCCACAGAGGCATAGCCATGCAATTAAACATTTGTGTCTTTTTACTCCTTTCAATGGCAGATATAATTTTGCAGTGAAGAGAATATTTTTTTTAAAATGAAATGACAACGACATCTGTCTGTCTGATGGCATCCTCTGTCTGACGGCCCTACACTCGTACTATGGTCTGGTGTGTATTTACTTACTGTCCTAAACTGTGTGGGGTGGTTGTTCCAGAATTCATTTGCAGTTTGTATGAGTGAAGGTGTACAGTTTCTGTGAAAACAGTTTGTGTCATTAGTGCAACAAATAACCTTTCACCTCATTTCAGTCACGCGTCACACAATGATCTATGGCAGGGGTTTCCAACTGGTAGGTCACAACTCAATACAATATTTAGTTACACTTTATTTTAAGGTGCCCTTGTAGTGTAATAACACAAATACGTATTCAGTAATATTAATTAACAGCATGCCTAGGGTTTGTTTTAGGGTTAGTTACTCGTAATTATGTATTAAACTGTTATTACTAAAGTGTGTAAAATGTTACAGCATATTTGTCTTAGTGTTTGTTCAGGATATGTTGTTTATGCATTTACAAAAGTGTCGGGTTGTCTTTTCAGCCTATATCACATTGGGCTCCTACATTTTTTGTTTTTGTTTTAGTGTTTTAGTGACATTGTTTTTTATGACAATTATTAGCCTATGGTAATGTGTTGGGTCGCCGTTTGAGGTCCAGTGTACAATCTGGCTTCCTAAAACAGTCGCTCTTAAACAAATCAGTAATTAACATGCTTATTCGGTCTTTAAAACTGATGACTAATAAGTTCAATTTTCCTAACACTCCCATGACCACATTCCTTAAAACTGCCCTTAAGAAACCCACTTCCTTTGTTGAATATTTGTGCCATTTGACTGTTCAACTTTCCTTAATTAACTTTTTTGATAGATTTTTATTATGTGAAACCAGCTTAGGCCATATAATTACAACACCTGACTGATGATTTCTGGCATAAGCAAACTAGCGGGGTGAGTCGGTCAAAACACATGCACGCATCGGACAACTTCCTGATTTTTTTTCCTCCGCTCCAGCAGAAGCCAAAGCCCCGCCCCTTCACGCTCCACACAGCGCTGTGATTGGATGAGAGAGTCTTATCGCGCTTGGGTTCTGCAACAGCTCAGAAGCTCCTGGAGACGGACGTGAACGCTTCGCTCTGTGGATGAACGCTTTGTCTGTGTCCTGTATGAGAGAGGAGTGCGAATTCCCCGGGACGGGCTACTGGCTTTGACAGTAGCATCAGAGGAGTCGGGAAGATTTACAGGTATATTTGGAAAGGATCCGGAATATATATATATCGTTTAACCGAGCCTAATCCATTGGGAAAAAAACGGAGCGCTGTTTCTGCATTGCGTACGGGGAAAAGCTGCAATCGGACTCTTATAAATAGTTCAACTGGACCCGATCTTTATGTAGCGGTAGATTTGGCTGTAATGTAGCTTAGTGGTGTGTTTGTGGAAGAAAGGGGGCCAGGCGCCGCAGTGGGCAGTGATCGCTTTAACACAGGCAGTACGTGCGAACTAGAACGAGCAGCTATCGGCAACTGGCACGTACGCTCCCAACTCCATGTATCTAGATCAAGCCATCAAAATACTCCCGAGAGATCGTTTGGCTTGCGTTTGACTGATTTATATCGCGAGGAGCGGCGTAATTAAACGGTGCTATTCGCTCGCAAAGGTTAAATCTCTATTGTTTTTGTTTGTTTGTTTTTTTATGATATTTGTTTATGATCCTGGCTACGTTAAATCACAATTAGGTTGGTGTTTATACGCAGTAAAAGAAAAGTCAACGCTAAAAATGAAAGCTTAATTTTGAATGCTGCCCTACATTCTATAAATTGTATTAATCTCAATGTATAACCTGAATTGGTAAGTTCATTTCACCTTTTCGTTCACTTTTGTTTAATTGTGGTTAAAGAAAGGATTGTGTGAAATGTCGAAAACACGTAAAGCGAGGAAAATGACAGAAATGATTGTTGCGTGTTAAATGCATAGGAACGATGTTGTTATCATAATAATAAACCTTTTTTTTTTTTTGCAGTTTGCTGGGGTAGGAGGGTCTAGAAGGAAACTTTCTGTTTCTTTAATGCCACCTCCTCTCTCTTCTCGAGAAAGAAACGGTTTCAGCTTAGGCCCAGTTAAAAGTATTGATTAATCACCTAACGTACTAATGCCCATCAAGGAGTGAACTGATAGCGCACATTATCACGCTTAGTGATAAATGCCGAATGCTGTTTAATGATCGTTTCAGTTTGTCGTTTTGAACGCTCATACACACTGAGAAAATGTCACGCGGTATACACAGTATAGATTACGAGTGGACAAAAATAGAAGAATAAACATTGTAGACAGTGTGCGAATTATTCAATGAGGCTGTCAGTACTTCTAATCTCGTACGACCTAAAGTTCCTTTTGACACCTCTTGCACACGCAGCTAACTAACAACAACACACTAAACATTTACTAAACGTTTAAATCTATAGTAAAGTGATTGTAATGACAGTGCTGATGTTTTGATCATGTGATGTCAGATATGTATCTTAAAGGGGTCATATGATGCGATTTCAATTTTTCCTTTCTCTTTGGAGTGTTACAAGCTCTTGGTGCATAAAGAAGATCTGTAAAGTTGCAAAGACTAAAGTCTCAAATCCAAAGAGATATTCTTTATAAAAGTTAAGAGTCAACCACACCTACCTAAAACGGCTCGTTCTAACACGCCCCAACATACCTACGTCGCTCTGTGGGAAGATTTGCATAACGCCGCCCAAATGTTCACGCAAAGAAAGAAGGCGTAACTTTTATTCTCGCTGTAGTATTGTTACCGCCGCCATATCCTGAAGACGCTGTGTGCTTCGTTGTGAAAGCGAAACTACTTTGTTTGGTCTTCCAAAAGAGGACGATACCTGCTTCGTCATGCCTAGAGCTGATCCGTGCTGGTCGCTGAGGGAATACAACAGTATGGTAAGGGGCGTAACATTTCCGTCTCACGCTTGAGGTATTCGGCCAATCACAACGCACTGGATAGCTGGCCAATCACAGCACACCTCGCTTTTTCAGACCGATGAGCTTTGTAAAAATCGACGCATTTCAGAAAGGCGGGGCATAGAGGAGAAACAATAATGTACAGTATGTGGAAAATAATGTGTTTTTTTTACTTTAAACCGCATAAACACATTTCATTACACCAAATACACAAAATAATGTTATTTTTAGCAGCATCATATGACCCCTTTAATAGGAAGCGCTTGAGCGGCATACTGTTGCTATAGTAACCTCTTTTGGTGAATGCGACTTTTTTTCGCGCCGTTTAGCCACACTGTCCTGACAAATGTGTAATATAACCTAAGTGATCATTTGTATAAATAAATAAAACACTGCATACTTTAGAACCTCCATCCGTTTTGTTTTCACCCCATCCCCCCACCCCTCAGCTCACACCATACTTAGACATGAATATACTGAATATGCTCTGTTTTTGTGAATAGGTGTCCTGGAGACATTTTTGCACCATGCAGGAGGCAGTTGATGCCACTGTGCCGGCTTTAGGTCTGACCATGGGGACCGGAGAGTTCACCGAGCAGCAGATGGGACTCGCCGACAAGATCCCGTTAGTGAAGCCCTACTTCAAAAAGAAACACGCACAGAGAAAACTGGATACAAAGTGCTTACGTGCTTTAGAGGACCCTATTTTGAGTACGTTATTAAACTCGGACGCTCTCGTGTCAGTGGACGGAGTGTTTGTTTCACGTAACCCGGCTCGACCTCAGCGGAATATATGCACCGCCGCCGTGGAGAAGCAGTCGAGGATTAGTCAGGTGTGCCTGAAAGAGGAGGATGAGGAGGAGACCACGGACCCTGTTGTGGCCGGGAGCGAGCTCGCGGGGGAACAGAAGGTGACGGATATTCAGCGGGTGTCAATAGACACTAATGAGCGTCGCTTCCAGCCCCAGGAGCGCGACGAGGCGGCGCCCTCCTCCGACGTTTCGGCCTCGAAGTTAAATGACATCTACACCACTGAGACTTTGCAGGGTGCAGATTGCCTCGCCATCAAAGAGGGCGAGATCTTTCAGGATAAAAGCGAGGAGGCCTCTTTGGATCTAGTGTTTGAACTCCTGACCCAGCTCCAGTATCACACGCATCAAGCGGACGCTGTATCGATCTGTGTGGATTTCCTCCAGGGCGTTTGCGTCTATGGCAGTGACTGTGCCCAGCATCACACCGTTTTACCTTACCACTGGCAAATCCACAGAGCAGATACGCAGACCTGGCAGAGCATATCGGATGACTCTCAAGAACAACTGGAAAGGCTTTATTGCAACCCTGACAACGAACATGTCAGACTTAAGTTTCTGTAAGTGTTTCTGGTTTTGCCCTCTGGGTTAATGCCGCTTTTCATTGAAGCCTCTTGAGCAACTTCAATCATTTATGCTTTACCCAATAAGGACAAGTGCAGCAAAGCTAAGCTTGCAGTTCAGTGAGAAAACAGACAAAATTGGTGCAAGGGAGGGACTGGTATGATTCCCTACTTAAGCAAAAAAAAAAAAAAACAGCCTAATCCAGTTTGGTTGACTGGTCTTATCTGGTTTAGCTGGTCAGACAGACCTGCTAAAAAGTGGCCAAAACCAAAAGAGGGACCAGCAAACCAGCTTAGGCTGTTGTTTTTCAGTGAGGCATATTGAAGTAGACACCTAGTTGAAGTGAAAGAGTGCAGTACGTGACAGGAAGTTGAAGTTGCCTTGTATGTAGGAGCGTGTGTGTTGTGGATGGGGTATATGTGACTAAGAGATTGTTTCTTTCCCATAAGCCTTCCGTTGGCTGGCCTGACATGTGGAAGCGTACTGACAGCTGTGAGCCGTGAACTTGCTCGACCTGCCTCTGCTTAGTTCAGTCAAACGCACACATATTACACGCGCATGCTCCCACTCACTGCGGCTTGCGCTCAGGCGGTCACACGCACTCGTCGCACAGACAGAGAAGGGCTCACACGCAGACTTGCTCACAAACACGCAAATAAATGAGCTTTGGAGACACACGTAATTATGCACACGCTCACCCACCCACACTCGCTTTCATGCACGCACACATGAAGTCCCTGTGAATGCCTGTTTTATTTTATTTTATTGATCATTTGCACACACTCCAACACAAACGTCCTTAGACATACCAATCATACACTTCATTGCCACAGTTTTTATCCCTGAGCTGAAATCATGCTTGCTTTGACCCAGTGGGATTTTTTTTTTTTTTGCCTAAACAAAAGGGCCCTTTTGTTTGTGAGAGTCTTGTTAAGGTCCCAAGCCTGATCTGTATGCAAAAGTGGTTTGCAAAAGGAAGTGCACTTGGTCATGACAAAGCAAAAGAGACAGTGATTTTTAATGCTCACCATGACACAGCTCCTGGCTGCTTCCTTCTTGAAGACAGCATTGTCGATTTGTCATGGAAATTCTCCTGCGGGATAGCCAGCTATTTAAGGGGTCTTTGTCTACAGAGTTTAATAGACAGAATGGCCATGTAACTGTCTCTGTTGGCCCGTTTAGCTCATGTGCTCTCAGAACTGTGGCTCACAGTGACCTGTTTAATGTTAATAGCTGAAGCCGACCATTGACCTCCTGCTGACTTTGGTAGTTCAGGGGTAAAGTGAGACCCACAGAGCCTGTAAACCACACCCTTATCTGCTTACCCCCCATCTTTTTTGATTTTTTTCTCTCTTGAAGAAGACATTGTGTAATGTTACAGACCATTTCAGAGCAGAAATGAGAGGGTCTGAATGACAGACGCTATGCATAGTTGCCCCAGAACAAATTTACATACTTTAGCCACACATAAAAATGTATGACTGTCATTGCTTTAGATAAAAAAAACAAACTTAGTATATTTTATTTTAAAGAAAAATGGAAAGGACTTTTCAAGTGAAACATTTCAGAAAATTACAAAGGTTTTAAATGATAAATCAATACTAACAGCTTCTGCTTGTCAAATCACTTCTTAGATCTTGGTTTGACATTTTGTTTTGTTCACCAAATGTCCAAATGCTTCGGGGGCACTGTGTTTCTGAATTCCAAGAAGACACCATATCAATATACTGTATTGACATTTTAAAGAAATATAGTAGGCTAGACAGGGGCTTTTCCAGTTTAAGATGTCCAAAAAAAAAAAGAAGAGTTTTAAATGGTGAGTCAATAGATATATGGTTCAGAATTAAGATACAGTATTTAGACACTTTGTGGTTGTCAAACAAAATACAAATATGTCCAAAAATCACTTATTAGATCTTGGTTTGACATTTTGTTGACCACGGTGTCCAAATGCTTCATTTTTGAATGCAATGACACAATATCGAACTTATTGGCTTTTATTTGAAAGAAAAAAGCAGTCAAGGACTTTTCAAGTAAAACATTTCTAAAAAAAAAAAAAAAAGACTATGGCTATAAATGATAAATCAATAGATATACAGTTTAGAATTAAGATATGGTATTTGGAGACTTTCTTGTTGGCAAACAAAGTGAAACATCCAAAAATTGCTTCTGAGCTCTTGATTTGACATATTGTTTTTAGTGCAATGCAAATCATTATTAATGTGACCAAAGTGTCCCAATACCTCAGGAACATTGTATTTTTGATTGCCAAGTCACAGGATCACTGGTCAGGCTGTTTACATTGGCGTGCAGTAGGGATGCAGCGATTAACCGGTTTCGCGATTAACCGCGCTTTAAAACGTCACGGTTAATTAATCGTAAAGTTTCTGCTAAACCGAGTGTTTCTGTTACACGGAACGGAACTGTTCCAGCTTGCGCAAAACGAAAAAAGTTACACTAGCGGTGCACCCAGTTGATTACAATATTTCAGTTTATTTCCATCATTAGTAACAGTTTCCCCTGTGGGACAAATAAAGTTAATATTAGTCGTATATTAATAATAGGCTACTTCATTAACTTTGTTATTTACTATCCCTGTTGTAGTATTATTCATAAGTAAAAACCAACAATATTTTTTTTCACCATGTTTCCAAATTCTCTACCCCAGGTCCAAAAGAAATGTAAAGAATGTACAAACTGAAAACATTAAATACTTTTGCGATCTATTTCCATTTGTTATTTTCAAAAGAGAAATACTGTCATGGATGTTTACAGAGCAGAGGTCACCTTTTTTAATTCCAATGGGAGAGATGGATTTTGTTTGTCGTTTTTATTATTATTTTTTGCTGTATTGTTGGTTACTGTGTTATTTCTGTTTCAAAAGCCAGCAATAAATAACACTTTAATATCTAAAGAGTGTTCATGTGATTTTATACATTAGTAATGTTGGGAAATGAATAAATGCATAATAATCGTCATAATCGTAAAACCATGATTATTCCTCAGACAATAATCGTACCAACAAAATCTATAATCGTTGCATCCCTAGCTTGCAGTAATCCCCAGGAGCAGAGGCTTTCTTCATTCTTGTATATATCCTAAGAAATGGATGTGCAGGCGCCCCAATAGCTTTTCATTTTTGTGCCATTGTGCCGCAATGTGTGAGAACCGTGACCCTTGATCCTGAAGGTTTGGTCTCCATGGGAGCAGCTGAGGATGAGATGATTGTGTTTGTCACACAATCTCACTGTGCACCAAGGGCACGGTGACCTGAAACCAAGGTGTTTGCATGTGTGTTTGCGTGCATGTGTGCTTGCGTGTGTGAGAAAAGAGATAACGCCTTAGACGGGCCATGAAATTATTCACATGGGTGAGGTCTCTTGACTTTTCACACTTCACCGTCAGTTTGACTCATAAAATGTGTTCTTCCTGCATTCTTTCTCTCTTACACTTAAAAAAATGGTTATAACATACCATACCTTTGGATATGTAGCATGTAAATGAATATGCACTTTGCGAAAACAAACCATGGCACTACCGTGTTTTTTTTTGTATATTTGTGCTATGATACTGCCATGATATTCTTGAAGTACCCTGTAAATACCATGATGGTATCAAAGTATCATGGTACTGTCTTCTGACTGTATCATGGTATTCTTGGAAGTACCTGATGTATATTTGATAGTATTACCATGATACTATGGGCCTGTTTTACTAACAGCTTGCGCCAGCACAAATCGTCTTTTGGCGCTAAAATAGTTCTGTCAGGTTTTACTAAAGACGTACAGTGATGAATTAGCGCTGAAAAGGCGTGGACAGTTATTTTTGTGCCTGACCTTATGAATTTGTAGGAGTTTCCCTTTCAGACGCAAAAGTTATAGGAGGAGAATATTCAAATGAATCACGCAACATGTTTTACTAACGTTTGCACTCGTCAATTTACTGGCATTTGCGCCATTATTTAACATAAAAAAGCATGTCTTAAACTATATTTTGCGCTTGACATGGCTGCAATTGTTGCTAGGAGGCACCGCAGAGAGCAGAGAGCACGTGGTAGAAGGGAGAGGATTTTTTCAACACGTAGCCTATTATTACTGTAATTTATTTTGAATGCAACATTTTTACAGTCTTTTACCGTTAAATTCACGGTCATTTTTTACAGTGTAGAACACATTATCCGAACATATTGTTTAGCACTGTCGATTGTAGAGCATCAGTGAATGAAATGTCACAGTTTTGCATTGTGCTTTGAAAACGTTAGTGGGTAGCCTAGATTTATGCTTTCAGTTTGAATAGAAATCTTATACAGTACAGTTTGTCGATCTAAAATGGTAATTGTGCATTAACAGCTTTCAACCATGTCGGTACCATAGACTGTATAAAAACAGGTTACGCAAAAGGTACGCAAACGCGCGCTCTGATCTAATATTATGTGCACCCCTGCTTATAGTACTTTTTCTAAAGGATAGTATTAATGTTAAAATACAATGTTATTACATTATTATATATGTTTAACACAGTAACAGTATTTTTAACAGGTATTTTTCTCTGTTTCATTCAGTTATCAGAGGTTTGTTTTTTTTTACTTTTGTGTGAGTCAGATCATAATGGGCTAATGTTCTCTCACTCTTTCAAATGTGCTTTCTAACATAAACAAAAGCTGCCAAAATGTGCAGCTAAAGTATGTTTATGTGTTCCTCTCTTGCTGAGGGGGACAAAGAGAAAGAGCCAAATAGTGGCTGGATTGTCTGAACAAACAGTTCAGTCCTAGTCCCGCATGGTGCTCAGTAGCGCACGTCCCATCAGTCCGTGGCCTCCACAACATCCTGAGACTTTTTGGAGACTTTTGTCTTATTTTACAGAGAGCAAGAGGGAAACGAGAGCATTTACTTAGCCCTCAGCTCTTTTGAGCGTGTACTCTCTGAATGGAAACAAAAAACGAGAAGTCAAGAGTGTTGATTGAGGTTGATTTATTCCCTTAAATCTCTTGAAGAGG